TATCTCTTCCACAGGAGTGTGTGTGTGTGTGTGTGTGTGTGTGTGTGTGTGTGTGTGTGTGTTATGAAGGAGAAGGCACTGCTCCAGCTAGGCCTGTGAATTCCTATCTCACATCTTCACTCACAAACCTTCCTAATAAATAGATAGAAAAAACTTAAAATGGGGGCTGGGAGGGTGGCTCAGTGGTAGAGTGCTTGCCTTGCATGCATGAGGCCCTGGGTTCGATTCCTCAGCACTACATAAGCAAAAAGAAAAAAGCTGGAAGTGGTGCTGTGGCTCAAGTGGTAGAGCACTAACCTTGAGCTGAAGAGCTGGGGGATAGCGCCCAGGCCCAGAGTTCAGGCCCCACAACCGAACCCCCCAAAAACAAAAACAAAAACAAAACTTTAAATGTCAGGAAATGAATGAATAGATAGATAGATAGATAGATAGATAGATAGATAGATAGATAGATAAAATGGAAAAGACCAGGGCTGCAGATGGGGTTTGTAATATGAAGCCGAGTTTCCACATGCAAAGGAAGTAGGTGGAAAATTTGACAAACTCTAAAGCTGGCTGGCAGAGACCCAGAAAAGCTTAAATTATCTCCAGACTTCAGTTTTCCTGGTAGGGGCTCAAATTCTCTTCATCCCTTTGCATAAGGAACCCACTTTGGCAAAAATGTGCCCCGCAACATTGACTCCCTATTAGACATCTTTCTACTTCCTGTCTCTCTCTTCCTACTTCCTGCTTCTTTGCTTCTTTCTTAGCTTCCACTTCCTGTTGCTCTATTTCTTGGCTTCCTTTTCTCTCTCTATCTCTATCTAAACCTCATAGATGCCATAGATTTGCCTCAGAGCTCAGTTCCCCTTGGTCTTAGTTCCTGAAGACTTAGCTCCTTAGAGGGAGAGTTATGCCTAAGTGGGCCCAGGTTTTTGCTCACCTCTTTTCTTAGTAGGCAGAGGAAGGATTGAAAAGCTTCTCCATCAAGTCATACCATACCTACATCTTGAACTGGAAGGGAAGGCTGGAGTAGAGGTGAAGGTTACTAAGGTTTGGGGGGGGGGGGTCTCAGCTCTGGACACTGTCTCCTCAAACCATGCCCACAGGATTGTTTTAAAGCTATACTCCCTAGGGTCCTAGACAGAGTATCTGTAGACTTGAGCTTGTGTCATTTGATTAAAAAAAAATTAAAGAGCAATGACCTTGCCAATATGTGGGAAATTTTGTTTTCTACTTGAAAAAGCTAATGAAAACCAGTCATGATGAAAAACTCAGCCAAAGAAAGAATCCAAGACCGACACCAGGCACCTCCCTCCTAGGTACAAAAGCTTGGATCCCTTTGCTTTTGAGCTGATTCCTCTTCAGGCCTCCCAGCCTGGGGACTGAGCATCTCCCAGAGGGGTATCTTTTCCCAGAGGTGGGCCAAGCTGAGCCCTGGCCAAGCAGGTGCTCCCCTGTGGTCCCCAGACAGCTGTTCCAGATGTGTCCTTCATGTGGGTGGGGCTCTCCCTAGGGTGCAAGTGGCTGGAGGGTGCTTTACCTATGGTTCTGCTTGGATGTGTGAGGTTCTGTTTGTTTCTGTTGAAATTTTAAAAGTTACCTACTGTGTGTTAGGTACTAAGGCATCCTTATCATGAAGCAGGAAGCTCTTTGCAAAATTCAAACCCCACAGATGCACACAGAGCAGGTGAGACAGAGTATTTGCTGGGGGTCAAACCCACATATCCCTCCCCCCCCCAAAAAAAAAGATCTATTGATGCTAGTGCGTTGAGTACACAAATGTGTCTCTGGAAGGCCACCAGATATCAGGGACAGCAGCTGTTTCCCAGGAAGGGAAGAGGAGGCTCAGCACGGGTAGGAGGAAGACTTGCTTTCCATAGTTGGCCTTTTCATCACTGGTAGCACTGTTACCATGCACGGGAAGCTCCATTTCTCCTCAGTTAACTCCTGCCTGCTCTCTTATTGCAGCAAGACAAGGAATGGCAGCCTCAGCCCAGTGTCCCCCAACTCCCCTACATCCTGTCCAGCTGTCCTGGCCTCTGCTTTGTGTGAACAGATGTGCTGGTGTTGATTTTGTAAGAGTGCAGTGGAATTGTGGTGTGGTGCAGACTCATCCTGAGTCCTGAGACCTGTGGGGTTCACTTTTGATGGCTTTGCATGGCTTTGCAGGACGCAGCAATGTGCACAGCAAGTGAGTGAGACTGGCAGGGATTAAGTGGGAAAGCATGGACATGGTTAGCACTGCTCAGCACACTGTGGTGGCAGGGAACAGTGTCCAGGCTGTGCATGGATGCAGTGTTCAGGCTGAGATCTGAAGAATGAGATTCACTGGGACAGCAATACAGGCTGAGGGTCAGGCTAGGGGGTCAGATGGACAGACCCTAGAAGGTGGAATTTGGAGGGACTGAAAAGCAGCCAGAGACTTCATGATTGATGGCCAGGTGGCAGGGACACCGGGCTGTTGTGGCCCTGGCTCGGGAACACTGCTGTATCCGTCGGAGCTGTGGGTCTTTCACCAGCTTTCCTGGTGGTCTTTTCTGAATTTCATCTGATTGGGTACAAATGCTCCAGCACTTCAAGGAAGTTGGATACCCTTTGATTAGTTCCCGCCCTGACTGCAGGCTTTGCTCGTTATCAGATTTACATTCTAAATGACTTCTGCATGAACTCCTTGTACAATTGGTGCTGTCAACAGAGGTTTATTGTTAACTGGACCATAAGGGACGGAAAAAATAACAGATCGCACATTTAAACAAGATAAAACTGTGATAGAATTTAATTTTTTTAGGTGAAGAAGTCTGGTGGTAACCCTGGACTCCAAAATAAATCCAAGACCAACCATAGGGTTCTACCGTGAGGTACAATATGGCTGCTCAAAAACCTACAATCATATCTACAGTTCAAGCAGAAAGAGGAATGTGTGGGAAAGAAGGACACACCCCTTTCTTTAAGGTCCCTTCCTGGAAGTCAGATAGAGTTTACTTCTGTTTGCATTTCATTGCCCAGAATGTATCACAAGATTGTATCCAGCTTTGGGGAAAATGAGGAAGTGTAATGTTTATTTTGGGTAGTCACCTGCCAGGCTAAAAGAATGTGGGGTGGTATATTGTAGGAAGAAGGAGAAACGGAATATGCAAGACATGACATTTTCTATTGTGTATGAGCAAATAAATTTGAGAAACACTTGGCTGGGAAAAGTGAAACCATTGCAGAGTTTCTTTAGTGCAAATGGCCACAAAAGAGGCTGTATCTAGCCTTTCAAAATGCATGAATTATCGGATTGGTCTGTGTGTGTGAAGCAATTTACAGAATTGGTATTCTATAGATCATGCGCAGGTAAACTGAGTCTTTGGTGATTGTAGAATCCAGATGGGCCAGAGCCAGGCAGGGCTAGTTCAATGTGAAGACTGCTTGCAATTAACCCTAGATCCACCTGAATCAGATGGGAGGCCTGGAAGAGGCTGGGAGTAGAGAAGGGTTGAGGTTCCTGCTGTCAGTAAGTTCAAAGTCAGGGGACACACATTCTCGGCAAATAATGATGACAGAACACGGGGCTAGAACCTGGGCTTGGAGGTGGTGACACTGGCTGCAGCATCTGGTGGTGATGAGAGATAGGGGAACACTGAAAAGAGGGAGCCTGGGCCCCGAGTGGTCCGGGGGAAGGCTGAGTGCAGGGGAAGAAGAGACGCAGAAGAAGCAGCTTCTCTGTGATGCAGTGGGAGGGAACAGCTTTAGAAACAGAAAGACCGGAGCCAGCGGTGGAATGCAGGCCTCTCTGTCCCCTGCTCCTGCCCTCTGTCTGCCCTTTGTAGGAATCCAGGCTTCCTCCGCTGGGACACCCCAGAGCAAGCAGCCCTTGGCAAGTTACACAGCTCGGTCACCAGCACCCCCTCCCTGGGCTGCCTCCACGCACCTCTTCAGCAGTGGTGCAATAAGGTCTCTCTGCCCCTTAGACTCCTTCTCTCAAGGTAGCGCTGGGAAATTTGGAGTCTGCTCCACCCACCACAGAGAAAGGCCTTGTAGGGCTGAAAACACCAGACGTGTGTCTCTCCAGCTGTGGAGGCTGGAAGTCTGGACTCCAGGTGTGCATGTGTGTATGTGGGGGGTGCACTTCCTGCCTCTTCCCCCTCTGGTGGCGGGGGGAAGGGTGCGGATGATCCTTGGTGCTGCTGGACTTCAGATGCATCACTCTAGCCGCCCCCAAAGTCCAGTGCTGTCTCTATGCATGTGTGTGTCCGTGTGTATGGGTGTGTGTCTTCCCATGGGCCTTTCTTCAGCGTGTCTGCCTCTGCTCCTCTCATCTTCAGAGTGTGAGCCTAGTGACTGGTCTACATTCTACACTTCAAAGGCCCCGCTCCAGATTGAGGTCACATTCACCGTGGCTAGGCCATCAACCTAAGCCATCAACAGGATGTTTCCCCATTGGACGCAACTAGAGCCAGTCCTGGGCTGTGGAAAGGACACTTTGTCTTGTAGCTCTTGCTACCAGCAAATCAACAGATCCCATTTCTTGCTGATTTATTAGCTTTGCCTTGATCCAACCCTCCCAGTGCAGGCCCTACAAACACACGCCAGGTATGTGCTGGGAAGCCAGGCCAGCTGGCAAGGAAGCAGAAGGCCAGGCTAGGGCTCGGGAAGCAGGCAGGGAGGTGGCCAATTTTCCCTTTCTACTTCTCTGCCTGGACTCTGGGATCTCCTCTGCAAACAGGCAGGGAACAGCTGGTTCTACAGACAGTGCCGCCCGCCCCTCCACCAAAGCCCCCTGTCTCTCCAGCCTGGCTCCCAGAGCTCTGCCTCCAGCTACACAATTTCCAACATTTTCAACCACTCTGTAAGTAACGGGGTGGGGGTGGGGAGAGTAGGGGCTCAGATTCTGCCAAGTTCAGCCACTGGCAGCAAAGTTGCTTTCTGTGTGCACCACGGTGTCCCTGCTGTCCCTCGGGACTGCATCTGTGTGTTACAGATGCTGTGGCAAAGAATCACAAACGAACATTTTATTCACAGGAGTGTATTGTCTTAGTTCTGGAGGATGAAGTTTGAAGCGAAGGTGGGCAGAGCTGCCTGCTTCTGAGCCCCTCTGCCTCCCCCTCTTTCCTGAGGGCAGAATGGGACCCAACCTGTCCTTCCAGCTTCTGGGGTGTAGCTAGCACCCTTTAGCATTTCCTGCCTTGCAAAAGCATGGCCCTGCTCACTACAGTATCTGTAGTGAGAGCTCTGTTCCTGTGTTTCTTCTTTCTGTGTTACTGGGCAACAGATTCACACGGGGGTGGAGGGGTAGAGAGCCAAGGTCACACTCGTGAGGCAACGGGAGGCTGGCTAGAGTCCCAAGGCAACTGTGAAGGCTGGCAGAGCCTCCCAAGGAGGGCGCATCCGTAACAATTAGAAGTAGACTTGTTTGCCTCTTAGGTGTCCAGATGAGTGGCTCCACGGAACCATTTGTAGCTTTAGAAGTTGGGCAGGAGTTCTGGCCACAGCAAGACACCCCTTTGGTACCTAGATTTAGGAAAACATAAAGTTGTCTTCAGAGTTAAGCCGTAAGACAACCACGAGCTCTAGAGCCACTAACACACCCAGGAAGAAAATGAGCTTGGAATGTGTGTGTGCCACATGCATGACTGTACATGTGTATGCATGCACACGTGTATGTGCAATGTGAGCAAGTGTGCATGTGTAAAGTGTGCAAATTTGCATGTGTGCATTAATGCATTGTGTATGAGAGTGAGTTTTTGTGATGGTGCCAATTATACTCATGTGTATGTGAACATGCCTGATTTTTATGTGTGTGCATTGTGTGAGCTTATAATTGTGTGTGTGTGTGTGTGTATGTGTACGCGCGCGCAGCTAGAGGACCCAAGAAAGAGGATAGTGCCTCTGCTCAGCAAACTAAAGCAAAAGCCAAGCAGCATGTCCTTGGCTGTCCCCATGGGAAAGGGGAAAATGTCCCGTGCTGTGTCTGTGTCTGTTGGGGAGTGTAAGTGTAAGATGACGCCGCTTGTGCCAGTGTCACTGGCTTCAGCCAAGGACAACCCCCATTCCAAACTAACTGGGCACTGGCTGTCACTGGTTTCTCAGGGGCTCGCTGTCTTCCAGGGAGGGAGTGTGGCCATGAGCAGATGTGGGTGGGGACAGACGTGAGGGCGTGGACTGCAGACCTGCCTGCCTGGCCCTTCAGCCCAGCTCCTTTCCTGGTGTCCACAGCTGGCGCCCCTGGGGATGGGACTTACCCTCTCTGACCTTCAGTTTCCTCATCTGTGAAGCAGGTTTACTAATAGCCCCTGCTATCTGGGCTGTTGTAAGAATTAAGCAGGTGATCTATGTACAGTACCTAGCACAATGGGCACTACCTAGTACCTTGCATGGCTCACCCTTGCAAAGATGGTCAAAGCTACCATCACTCCCTTAGCAGACATTAAAATGACCAGACATTAAAACACCACACTTTTTTGAGGCAGGGTTTCTCTATGTAGACCTGGTTGGCCTGGAGTTGGTGATCCTCCTGCCTCAGCCTCCTGCCTGAGTGCTGGGATTGCAGGTGTAAGCCATCATTCTGCATGACTTTTTATATGAGTCCTTTGAGAAGTGCACCCACTCTGGGGGTGGGAGTGGGGTAGGGGATTGCCAGTACAGTGCTCCATGTGCGGGGAAAGGGCACACAGTTAGCCTGTCCAGTGTGGTCTGGCAGGATAATCACAGTTCCCCAGCATGTGGCAGATGCTCAGGGAGTATGTGGCTAGGACACAAATGATGGATGTGATGGGTTCATGAGTGACGAGTCACATTCATGGGGCCTTAGGACCAGAATGATGGTAGCTTTGCGAAGACAAGCCACTCAATGAGCTTACACCTGGTGACCAGGCCACACCCCCTCCTTACAATCACTGACCCCAATCTACCCAGTACCTAGCTGGAGAGGGAGGGGCGGAAGTGGGAGCTGGTGCTCCCCTGATCACCAGGTCAAGGCTGAGTCATTCTTACAAAAGTCTCCCAGGCTGCTGGACTGAATCACTTGGACCTGCTGTAGTTTTGCGTTAATTTAGACAGAATAGAGATGTCTTTGATGAAGGCCGGTGTGCTCCCATGCCTTACTACTACTCACTCTCACTGTGGTCTCCAGGCCAGCAAAAATCCATCTTCACGAGAGGCTTGTTAGAAATTCAGAGTCTCAGGCCAGGTCTGGGGACTCAACAAGCCCTAGTGTGTGTAACTTGAACTTCTTCAAGCACCTCCAGCTTGGCAATCTCCAAAAGACAAAAAGAAAACCTAGCATTTAGAAGTCTGTAGTTTCCCTTACTCTAAAATGTATGTCCAGGAGCTGACCAGTGGGGACCAGCTGCCTGGACAGGTCCATGCCCTGCCCTCTGCCCCAGGCTTTCTCATCCCTCCTTCTCACAAACTCTTTATTGGTCAGTAGGCTGACATTCTTCACAATAATAATGAGAAATGTTCTGCTGTTTGCCGACAGGTTCAGTATTTGTTTTCTGAGCAAGCTTGCTTGTATTTCCACTGGAGGGGTTGTTAAGGCAAGTTATACTGCGGGGTGTTTTATCACCCTTTCCTCCTGCCTGGTGGGTACCAGCCCAGGTCCTGGCAGGCATCTCCTGGCACCCAATGAGCAGGCGCCATCCTTAGCCTTCCAGATCATCCCCGCCTCCCGCCTCCGCACCTTGCTTCATCTGTCCAGCTGTGCACAGCTGGCACCCAGCAGCCCTGCCTTCCTCTTTCCCATTTTGGAGAGAATACAGACACATGTCAATGGCAATGCAGTAAAATCTGATGATTGCCCAGAATGCCTAAGTTTTCCAAATTACTGCTTGCACTTCCTTTCTACATCCCGGCATGCCCAGACCCACTCCTTGGGTTCGGTCTCAGCACAGCCATCAGGTATCTGCTCTTTCAGCTGCTGGGGGTAGGGGTGGCTCAGGGAGGCCCCAACCTGCTGTACCTGCCGAGAGCAGGGCTCAGCTAAGATGCAGGTCAGGGGCTGGGGGTGCAGATGGGCCCAGATCTCCAAACCCAGCTCTTTCCACGAGGAAAACCAGCCAAGGAATGGAGAAATCCTGAGACAGGAGGCAGGACAAAGCGAAGTCCCACAGGGCAAGATGGAGGCAGCTTGGTGCTCTGTTTGGGACTCAAAAGAAAGGGTAGAATTTTCCTCGAGCATGAGAAATGAGGCCTAGGCCCTTGGGTTCAAGTTGAATACAGTGCTTGGAATTCTAATGATAACTTTTGCCCAAGAAGGGGATGTAGAGGTACTTACTGTGGAGAATTGGGGAGATAACAAAATATAAAAAAGAAAATGAGAAGCCATTGTACTTCCACTCCCAGCGATCATTTCCATTGGCTTTCTGATGTCTCCCTCCCTCGCTTTAACCTGTAGTTTTCTTTTTATGTAGATTAAAACTTTCAATTATTCATCTTTTTCTTATTGAGGACACATTGTTGTTCTTTTTTTTGGGGGGGGGGGTCCGGTCATGGGGCCTGAACTCTGGGCCTGGGCACTGTCCCTCAGCTCTTCAGCTCAAGGCTAGTGCTCTACCACTTGAGCCACAGTGCCACTTCCGGCTTTTTGCTTATGTGGTGCTGAGGAATCGAACCCAGGGCCTCATGCATGCAAGGCAAGCACTCTACCACTGAGCCACCTTCCCAGCCCCCACGTTTTTGTTCTTATGGAGATATAATATCAAAGACAGTTATTCTAGGACTAGAAAACAGAAGGAAAAATCCCCAAACACTTGGGAGTTAAATAGCCTGCCATTAAGTCAAAGAAGGGCATCTCAAAGGAAATAAATATATAGCACTCTGAGGTACAGATAAAGCAGTGCCATGAGGGAAATTAATAGCACTAAAATGCTAATATTCGGAAAGAAGAAACATTTCAAATCAATAATCAAAATTAAATTAAAGTAGGGGTGTGTGTGGTGAATTCATGCAGTGAGCTGAGACTTCCAATTTAGACTAGCTTCCCATGCACAGAGTAACTCCCTGAACTTTAGCTTACTTACCTTTAATCCAAGAATACCATTTATCTTTTAGAATTAATATGGGTATTTAATAAGGAATGGTTTGTCGATTGGAAATATCATTTTCCTTATGATGTCTTTTTTAATCTTAAAGAGCAATAATATTTGTGGATATAGCTAATACCTGAGTCTGTTCTGTTCCCCCCCGCCCCCCGCCTCTCTTTCTTTCTCTTTCGGCCCCACAGATCCTCTCCAGCCTTGTGTTCCAGCCAAAATGGAGCCTAGGAGCAAGGCTGGCTTCTACCCTGCCCGCCCTCAGAGTTGTGCAGGAGGATGGAGGGGGAGGGTAGAGGACAGTTAGGTGCTGGACAAAGCACCCTGTCAGTCTGGCAGTGTCTGCTCAGTCTTATATGTGTAAAATGTCCACAAAACATACACTCACACTACACACATATTCATGCTCTCTCTCCCACATACACATAATCTTCAGTACACATAAAAATTGACTTAAATTTTACCCCAGATTGTATTTACATGTTCAGTAATAATTGAAGTGACCCAACAGAAGGGCCTTGTGTGTGTGTGTGTGTATGTGTGTGTGTGTGTGTGTGTGTGTGTGTGTGTGTTGCTGTTCTTGATGCAAGAACACATTCCTACCCCAGGCCTTTGAACTTTCTTCTCTTCTGCCAGCTATGTTCTTCCTGTATGGTAAATGGAAATCTCACTGCCTTCAAGTCTTTCCTCAGAAGTCACCTTCTCAATGAAGCTAACCCTGAAAATTACTTAAAATTTCACTCTATCTGCTTCCCACTACCTACCATTCTTCTCTCATGTTCTACTTTTAAATTCTTTCCACGTACTTACTGTTTTGCAATAATGCAATGCAGAAGAACAAGGGACTTTGTCTATTCTTCTCAGTGATAAATCCCAAGCGCCCAGGACTATGACTGACGCACAGTTAATTTTCCTTTTCAATAAATATTTCTTGAGTGACTGGATCTTGATCCCTGGTGACTTAGCCTGCCAGCCAGGAGGCCATGCCATACCAGGACTATCCAGCAGATGGCAGCCAATGAACACATGAGACAGGAGGAGCGGCACTTTGAACTCAAGGTTCTCCCAGTGAAGTGGGAGATAAAGTGGGAGACAAAATCGTGCTCCACTTTCTCCAAAAGCAGACTTTTCCCTCTGACAAAGGAGTTGAGTGTAGGAGGCGGGCCAGGGAACTGATAAGGCTTTTATCTAGCACAGGAGGCTGTTTACCAAAGTGTAGGCTTAGAAAATGTGAAGCAGTGTTGAGAAAAAAAATGAGGTCAGTGTTCCCACAGTGGGAACAAGGAAGTAGAGAAGGCCCGTGGCTTTGGGTTTGCCTCAGTTCTTGAAAGTCTGGGAAAAAAAAACACATTTTTTTCACTACTACTGTGAAAATGAAGCCAGCCCCTATCCTATCACTGAGGCATGGAATTTTCTAGTACTACTCAGAGCATTGATAGTATCACTAAAGATGTTCCTCTCCTGGGCTTCTGTGAGACAATTCTCTTCCTGGGTGCTTTGGTTCCCCACTCCATCAGGAGACTGAATTGTGGGGGTAGTGAACCCTTCCTGAGCCAAGTTCAAGATGTGGCTGCCTTAGATCAAATTCAGAGTGTACTAAAATAGAAGAAGGCTTTGAGTCTATTGAGTCAGAACTGTTCAGCCAACTGGTCGACCTCCTTCCTGCTGCCACTTGTTTGGTATTTTATCTGCATTGATGCTCAGAGCACCTCTCTCAAGTCTACCCTCTTCTTGTTCTATCCTCATAAGAGGGGTTGTCAACAAGGACTGGGCTAGGTGCTCTGTGGTGCACTCTCAGATGTGAGAGAGGGATGCTGACAATGGAAAGCTGAAGGATCTTCCCAAGTTCACACCCAATTTCACTCTGAAACCTGCCCAACCTCTATACCCAAAGACATATCCTGTACCTTTACCTCCCCTGCTAGTGTTGGGAGGTCAAATTACAGGCTTTTATTTTGTCTTCCCTAGACCCAAATCTACACCAGTTCTGGCTGCCTTACATAAAATACTTCCTTGTAGGATATGATGATAGCAACAATTTAGGAGTTCTGTTGACTAGTAGTGTCCAGGTAGAACCACTTACTGGCCTTTCATGACATGATTTCTGCCTTCTGAAGCTGTTAGCTGTCCTTGGTCAAGACAGACAAGCTCTAAGCACATGGTGGAAATGGAGAAAATGATATTCGTGGAGAAGCCACCTATGCAACTGGAAAGTTGCCCTCAGCCATGTTAAAAAGAGGCAAAGGGAACAGGTGAACCAAACAATTGGGTGTGCACACATCATTGTTCATCTTCATGATTTGTTTCATGTAACCCAGTGTCTTCAAAATAGAATCAGGTCAATGTTGGGTCAATAGGCATCAACAATAGGCCTTTTACATTTGAATGTTATGTTAACTCTGTACCACCTCTGTACAGCTTTTCAAACCTATAGCATAATCTCAATTTCCATTAGCCTTATTTCAAATGCTCTGGAGCAACACATGGCCAGTGGCTACTATACTAAGTACTATACCATATACAGTCCCATTCTAGGCTTTTTCCCAGTCTCAGCAGACCACTGGGCTGACTCTAAGAACTTTCCCAGCACAGGTCACTTTTTGACCATCTAGACCATTACATTCTCTGAGAATATTCCTTTTGTCTTTTGTCCTGCTAAAGTGGGATTGTTTCTAACAAGGATGATGGACAATGGGGAAGAATGCGGAGGAGGGTGAGACAGTAGGACAACTGGAAGGACTGGATTCTTTCTGAGGAATGAGGAGAGAGTCCTGGCCCTGGGGGAGTCTGGATCCAGGACTCTGGTCACTGAGAGCTGTGGGCACTGAACCTGCCTTTCAAGCCCTAAACAAAATGCCCTCATTGCCAGAGAGCCCCAATTATCCACATTGGATAGTTACTAGGTAGAAGAGCAGCAATTGTGTATGGACTGTGCTTAGATAAACAAATGGGCTCAAACTGTCCAGTAAAGGCTGGACAACACAAGGCAAGCAGGTGGGTCAGACACTGCCTCTCTGGTGGTTCCCAGGGCAGCAGAGACCCAACCACCCTCCCCTCAATTCCAGCTCCCAGCTTTCCCTTCTTTTGGGCTGAAAGACAGTGGTTGGGGGCCAAACCTCTGCACCCAGACTGCCTAGGTTCAAGTTCTGGCTCTGCCATTTACTGTGTACATTGGCAAGTAGCTCTCCTTGCACTGGTGTCAACTAGGAGCAGGGTACTGACTACTTCTGCGGGTTTGCAGGGGTTTGCTGAGCAGTATATGTGAGACTTAGCTCCTGCCAGGCTACTGTGATGATACTTTATTAGGGAGAGGGCTGGCTCTCCAGTACTCCAGCTCATCAGTGCAGAGGTGAAGTGTCTTATTCTTTTTTTTATTAATGAACTCATTTAATGTGTTATAAAGAGAAGATGAATGAAAATTAATACTATAGAGGACACATACTTATAGAGGAAGGAGCAATGCAGATGAGTGTCTAATATTTAAAAAAAACAACATGGAGTGCGTGTGTGACCTGTACTTGGGAGAGCACAGAAAGTACCAGGCAGGGGTTCCTGGGGAGGGAACATGGGGCTGGGGGCCCTTTGGAGTATTCATATTTTACCAGGAGTATGCATGTTTACATTTAAGCAAAATCTTTTTCAGAGTGCATTGCAATTTTAATTTATAATACACCTCCTTCCTGCCACCAGTTGCAGGTCATCATTGTGGAAAATGTCCACATTCTGAAGGAAGAGCATGACAATCTGGTGCTATTTCCTTCCTGTGGGTACCTGAGAAGATGGGTTGCTCATTTTCCATGGATCATCATTCTGGTTCTGAGACTCTGGTTGTTTTGGCAAGGGTGGGGAAAGGGAGAGGGATGCTGGGGATGGAAACCAGGATGGTGTGCATGCCAGGCATGTGCTATGCCGGCAGCTACAGCAATCCCAGCCACCACGCCTCACCATTAAAGCTCCTGTTGGGTGTAATGCTGGCAAGAGGAAACACTAAAGGGGCCTTTTGTGCACATTACACACACTCGACAAGCAGAGTTTCATACGAATGTGCACTGTGCACACACACAGAGGCAATGCAACCTAAAGGCTATACACACACACCCCTTAGCAGCCAAACCACTTGGCCCTCACAGACCAGCAATAGAGGGGTTCCCCACACTGCATCTACCCATATTCCAGCCCCCAAAGTATTTCACACTCAAAAACACACAGCCCACCAGACACCCAACAGCAAAAGCTCACACATCCCCAATAATGAAAAGGGCTACACACACTCATCCAAAAATGAGAGCAACACACACACACACACACACACACACACACACAGAGCACTCTGACAATCTTACAAACATGGACACCCAAACAGCTTTACTCCCCCAACCAAAGTGCTTCAAAGCCAGCCCCCGGTGACCCATATATTTCACTCATACGCACCCCAACAACCTCAGCTACCCATGCTGTGCTTTCCCCAGGCCCCCAAGCACTTGGATTTGCTGGCTGCAGCAGCAGATACTTGAACACCACGACATTAGACTGCGGCTTTCTTTTCAGATTAATGAGCAGAAAGGGATTGGAGGAGGGAGGGGCGAGAATGGCGGGAGAGAGCAATTACACCCAAATCTTTTCTCTGTTGATTAGGGATTCCTTCTCCAGCCTGCTTTGGCTCTGGCTAAATCTTTTTCTAATGAGATGTGGTTTATCCAGATCAGGCCGCTGAGAAAAAAAGTTGCAATTAACTTTAAGAAGAAAAAGAGTGAGTGAGAAAGCAGGAAGTGTGGGGGTGGGGAGACAGTACCGGCTGGGTGTGGAGGAGGCTGGCTGGCCACAGGTGGAGGGGCCAGGCCAACCTCAGGAAGGCTGCAGTTCTGCTCCAGCTTAGGAGCTTCTGCCTGGGAAAGCTGGGCCTTTGCGCCACTTTAGACCCTGCCAAGGACAGGAAGAGATTCTTCTCCTTGCATCTGGGGACTCTCCACACTCCACATACCACCTGCCCCATGTCTTCTTTCCCTTTTACCTGTCAGGACCTTCCATGCCAGGCGGGCACTGACTCTTGTCTTAGGAGCTGCTGGGGTCCAGTCATCCACCGGCAGCCAGGAGAGGAGGGTATTCAGGCAGAAAACCATGCTGGCTTCCCTGGCCTGTATCATGGTTCTCTCTGGGTGAGGGGTCCTGAGTTCTTTTCATGGGAGCTAGAAGGCTGGAGAAGGGCTGGGGGTAAAGCAGACATTTTGTATGGCAGAGAAATGCCTCTGGCTCTCAGAGCCACAGGAGACTGATCTACTTTTCCTTCTTCATTGCCAGGGTCAAGCACACACAAGGAACAGCTGGGAATGCACAAGTTGCTTCCTTCCTTGGGCGCTCAATGTCTTCAACCTGTTAGAAAAATAAAGAAGGGTGGTGGTAGGTTTCAGGGTTGCTGCCAGCTGGATACCCTCAGATCTAACCTAAAGCAGACACAGCCTCTTCATGTCCCCCTCTGAGTACTGCACCTTTGTGTCCTGACCTCAGATTTTCTGCTATACACCTTCACAGGACACTTGTGCCTTCCAATGAATATTTATCCATACAGAGACTGGGTTTTGCTCTATTCATGATGGTAGATATCCAGCAAGACCTGGTGGGGAGGGGTTGCATAAATGTTGAGATCTTCAGCCTGCTGCTTATGGTGGGATCTCCGTTGAGCCAGGGACCCCGAGTGTGGTCAGCTGGAATTAGACTAGGAGAGGTGGGTAGAAGTCTCTGTGTCCCTGCCACCAGTGTATACTATTCTTATGGATCCAGGCAGAGCAAGCAAGGCTGGATTTGAATTTACCTCCCTGTGCAAATCAGAATGGGGTTTTATTACTGTGGCTTTAACTTGGAGTCTGGGTGCTGTCCTTAGCTTATTTTGTTCAAGGCTGGCATGCTACCACTTGGGCTACAGCTCCACTTCCAGATTTTTGCTAGTTAGTTAGAGATAAAAGTCTCATGGACTTCCCTGCTTTGAACCATAATCCTTAGATCTCAGTCTCTTGAGCAGCTAGGATTACAGGTGTGAGCCACAGGTGCCCAGGCTGGGCTTCTTACTCATAATTCATCTGATCAGCATGTTTGATATTCAGATAAGAGAGACTTTGAATATAGATGGCCACCCCCCCCCCCATTCAATGGCTCCCTAGGGGGACACTTGAATGATTCCCTTATGGAAGAAGCTGGAGTTGACCCCATGCTGGGGACCTATGAGCTAATAAGCCCATTTTCCCTATGTCTAAGATCCAGGGAGGTTCCGAGAGTCTGGTAACTGGGTCCCAGGCTGGCCCTCAGCTCTACCCCTGGCCTCACCTGCATTAGCTGCTGGAGGAAATCTGGCATTCTCTTGTCTTCCTTTGGCTAATGCCAACTGAATAAGCATATACGCTAGAAATACTAACTACAGTGCTATGTTAGAAGTTCTTCTTAAACATATAGCAAGGTCAGAAGAAGGGGAAAAAATAGAAAACAAAACACAAAACCCTGAAGCAGAAATTGGACACAGAAGGGCAGATGTAGACTGAACAGGAAGTGCTGGCCCTAGGCTAAATGAAACAGCTGTCACCATTGTTCGGGACCAAGAACTGCCTTTGCAAACTCCTCGCGGGCCAGGCTCAGAAAGCAGATGTTAATAATTACAGCACATGAAACGAAGGGCACAGGATTAGGCAAGTGACGAAAAAGAAATGGTACTGGTAGATTTATAACTTGCTCAGGCAGATCTGCTTGGGCTGGGGGGCGTTGGAGTGGGGGGAGAGATGGCCACTCTGCAGAGCCTCCTCCCTGTACCAATCCCTTCATCGTTTGGCCTCTTGGCTTTTGGGATCATCTCAGAATGGGAGGATGTGTAGATTGTTTCATGGTGGGCCATGGCCTTTCTTCACTGCCTTTCTAGGGAGCCATGACTATAGGGCTACAGCCAAATGCTTCTGATCTACAGGAAACATATCCCTAAATATTCAGTTCAAGGGCTGAAGGGGGTGTCTTCTGGGCGAGTATCTGGCTGGCTGGCGGACAGGACTGGGGAGGACACACAGTTAGATAGCTGTCCTTGGAACTCTAGATCTTACCCAAGCGCTCACACTTAAAATCCAGGAGCTCAGTTCTTTGCAGCTGAACTTGATTCACACTTTCAAGTTGGCCAGACCCTCGTGCCTTGGAGAGGGCCAGGGAGCCAGGAAGAATGCTGGGACTGTTGCAGAAAGTTAGCAGAGCAAGCTTCCTGGGCTAATTACATAAGTAGAAAAAGCAGTCTCCACGTGTTGGCTGGATGTTCTTCTGGGCTTTTCCACGTGAACTAGGGTTGTAAAAAAAAAAAAAAGCAAAACAAAACAACATACTCACCCCCACCCCCAAATCCCACTATTCTACCAACCCACCAGAAATGGACGTTACCAGGAAAGGTTAGCAGGAAGGTAAAAGCATGTGTTTGCCATCTTTCTGCCTGATATGGAAACCATATGCTTAAATACACTAGCAAACATACTTAATATAACACTCTCTTTTATTAAATGTGGTTTTATAAATGCTCTCCTCAGCCAGGGCACCTTCCTTGTGCTGGGGGTTGGAACTTGGCAAAATAATCTTCTCGCTGTTACATCTATTGATATACATTTTTTTGAAAATAAGTCTCGGACCCTTGGAAAATAGACTGGTTCTGATTATTACTGTGAGAGGGAAGGGGCACATGAGGGCATCTCGTTTTTTTCTCTGATAAATTAAAAGAACTGTAACGGGTGCTTTCTGCAACCTGTAAAAAGGGCAGAGCCATCTGTGATTCATTTAGCAGCTCCTTGCTGAAGATTTATTTGATTAATTCGGTCAGAAGAGAGAGAATATGGATTTTCCCCTTCTTGGAAAGGCACATACACCCTCACACATGCAAACACACACACACACACACACACACACACACACACACACACACACACACACACACGGATAGATATCTCAGGAATGAAAAATGATTAATCATAATATCAGAACTGGCAAACACGTGGCCGTGTTTGTTCCTGCCCTACAAGAGAGAAGAGCTGGTTTTATTGTGTGTGTGTGTGTGTGTGTGTGTGTGTGTGTGTGTGTGTGTGTGTGTGTGTGTGTGTGTGAGTGTCGGTTCTGGGTCTTGAATTGAGGCCCTGGAGCTATTGTTTAGCTTTTTTGCTCGTCTGGTACTCTACTAGTTGAACACTCCAGCTCCCCTTCTGGCTTTTTGCTGGTTAATAGGAAATAAAAGAGTCTCAGGGACTTGTCTGCCTAGACTGGTTTTGAACTATCCTCTTTAGATCTCAGTCTCCTGAGTAGCTAAGACTAAAGGCATGAGCCACCAGCACATGATGTTTCATATTCTGTGGCCCAGTGCTATCCGAATGGCCCGAAGAACAGTACCAGATCACTGGGTCACATGGATGCAACAGGACACTGGGTGTCAAGCACCCTGTTGCACACTTTGCAAGGTTTTGTCATCCTATGGTCACAATGGCCCCAAGAGGATAAGTTGTTATTGTCACCTCACAGACAGGGAAACTACCCCATTTTGTACATGCCTTCAAATGCTTTTCATTTTTTTAAGATGGCTCTTTGCTTTCTCCGTTCTCCATGGCTGAGCCAGGTGGATGGAGGTTACATATTGTACTTGTCTTGTGGAAGATAACCGAGGAAGACGTTTCCACATTGGCTGCTTCATGCTCTGAGGGTTTCAGTTTAGAGCAGAAAAAGCTTCTCTTTTAGGCTCATTTCTAGTTTAGCTTCTCTGGCCTTAGTTGTCTGTAGCTTCATGGCACAACCCTATAAGCAATTATCTGTCACTTACTCAGGGATGGGAACTAACTAGGAGCTTGTACAAGGCAAAGAAAACAGCAAAGCAGGCTGGGAAGGTGGCTCAGTGGTAGAGTGCTTGCCTTGCATGCATGAGGCCCTGGGTTTGATTCCTCAGCACATCATAAGCAGAAAAAGCCAGAAGTGGTGCTATGGCTCAAGTGGTAGAGTGCTAGCCTTGAGCTGAAGAGCTGAGGAACAGTGCCCAGGCCCAGTGTTCAGGCCCCACAACCGACCAAAGAGAGAGAGAGAGAGAGAGAGAGAGAAAGAAAGGAAGGAAGGAAGGAAGGAAGGAAGGAAGGAAGGAAGGAAGGAAGGAAGGAAGGAAGGAAGGAAGAAAGGAAGGACGAACACAACAAAGGCAAGAGGATTCATAAAATCAGACGGGACTTGAGCCCAAGAGAACTTTCATATCAATGCCAGCAATGGCAAATAGGTAGCAAGTAAATGTGTGCATGTTTTCTATTCCTTCTACAGTGTAGACATTGCTAATCGATCCCAGATCTCCTGTTTGTCTTCAGAAATCTTCTCAACATAGCCCTCCAGGCAATGGATCACCATAATGAGTTGAAAGATGGTTGTAGTCCCTTCCAGCTGAAGGTTTCATTTTGTAAACAGAAACAAACAGGAGCCCAGAGGGAGAAAGTTGGTAACAAATCAGTCAGGAACTCGGTCTCAAGCCTCAGTTCTCAAGCCTTTCCCAGTAGCCTTTACATCCAAGCTAGGCACAGTGGGTCATAAACTTCTGTATATTGCTAGGTCTCTTCCCTTCCCCAACTGAATATCACTGAAGCTGCTTGAAGATAGGATAGAAGGCATCTCTTGGAAGACTGTAGAAGATTCAGGTCTCTTTGTTAGTTTTAAATAATTAACTCCCATACCAGAATGGGATGGGATAGCTACTACCCATAGCATGTTATGAGCCAGATTCTTAGAAAGTAGAAAGTTCCCCTGTGGAGACTGGGATCCTGGTAGACACCCCCCTGTCTCTCCCTTGCTGGATCACAGGAAATGCCTGAATCAAAGGCAGCCAGGACTCAACAGGCTGAAGGTATTGAGGGCTTTTGTCCAGCTGCAGCCTCAGACTTTTCTGCTGGGAAGAATTTCTCCTGGGAAAGAACAACAGGGTTTTGTGAGAGGAAGAAGACATCTGCCTCCTCCTCCAGAATTCTCTCCAGTGGAGCTCTTGTCCTGCTGGTCCTTTCTAGAATTTTAGGGTTTCTGCTTCTCCGCCGGGGTGGCTCAGGAAGAACTGGGCGCTTGCTTCCTAGCACTGCTGGTCAGAAACAGCCTTTCGGGGATGTGCATTGTGTCCAGAGGATCGGAGGGGATAGTCTGAGACCTGAGTACTTCCTAGGGACGCCATCACAGTTCACTCAGAAATGAGTGTGTTCTCACTGACCAGCTCAACAAAGCTGCCTACTGTGTCAAAGCAGACCTGATTCAAGAATCCTTAAGACTGTCCATGCCTGCTCCTAGCTGTTTCCACACTTTTAAATTTTTGTTTATTTATCTATTTATCTGAGGAAACAGTCTGATTATATAGTCCTGACCGGTCTTGAAGTTGTGAGCCTCTTACCTCTGCCTTCCAAGTGCTGGGATTACAGGCATGTATTGCTATACCTGGCTCATTCTGATATTTCCAAGATTTGAAAACACTTAATGCCTGCTCTAGTCCTGTTTCTACTTGATTTCTACTTCTCTGTGAAGAAAGATTTGCCAGTCAAATCCTACTGCAGCCCACCCATCACAGCTTCTCGAAAGATCACAAATACAGACTTAAGTGAAATGGATCCTGAGCTATGAGGGTTTTATTGGCTTCAGATAATACCTCTTAAGGAGTTTCGTTAACCAAACATCATTTGTTGAGTAGAGCTGTTGGTTTGTGTTGTAGGAGCGGCTTTCTGAAATGTTCCTAACATGGTATATCCATAAATGGAATACTATTCACTCAGTGACATACTGATTTGTTCTACAGTGTGGATTAGCTCAGAAGACTGTAATGTCTGATGTTGATGTAATTCAAGTGAAAGAAGCCAGACAATGGTCCAGTTCATGGCGCCAGCCGCATGAGCCAGACTGGACTGTTCTGAGGGATGTCTCTGATAGCCTGGAACAAATGTCTTCTAGTCAAAGGCTCTTGGGTCCTAGAATCATGGGAGAAATCTCACAAGAGACTGGCTGGAGAAGAACCTTGCCATCATCCAGTTCTTCATGCGATTCCTTCCTCCTCTGGGAGCTGGAGATACTGGGGTGAGGTGTTATCTCCCCACAAATTCATGTACATTGTGGTTAGAGAAATAGGGTCTGTGGAGATGTATTCCAGTAAAGATGTGATCATCAGGGTGTCCTCTCATCTAATGATCGGGCTCCTTCTCAGAAGAGGGAATTTGGAAGACACATAGAGACACAGAGAAGAAATGGTCACATGAAAACTGAGGCAGAGATCAGAATAATAGTGCCACAAGGAACCCAAGGCTTGCCAGTGACTGTTGATAGCTAGGAGAATTATAGGACACAGATTTTTCCTTCAGAATGAAGCAAATGACCTTGGACTTCTAGCTAAGGATGCACCTATTCAAGCCCCCACAATTATAGGGCTAACAGTAGTTCCGTGGATTCCTAGGAACGTTTGCAATTTCTGAGTCTGATGGTGATGGTGTAGCCACCTCCAGCAAGCTCACTTGAGCTGTCACATTCCTTTGTGGTGATCTGAAATGATATCAGCCGGGCATGGAGATATCAATTCTCCTGCAGTGGCCAGAGCTGCCCAGAAGATAGCTGGAATTGACTTCGTACACTAGGAAACTGGTAGCTATTTAGCAGACAAATAATCTTGAAGATGTAGAACTGGGGGTGGGGCACAAAAAAATAATGGAATACATTCTTGGGGAGAGGAAAACCCTTTATTTGGCTTCTGCAATACCTTTAAATAAAATGTCTGCTAAGCTCAGACCCTGGACAATGGATTCAATAAGAGAGACAGTACGTAGGGATGCAAAAGAGACCTTTCTAGCACTTAATAAATAGTACCTATGAACTGGAAACAATAGGAGTATCTCGTCATCTGGACTTGGTTTAATATACCCACACTTTGGGTTGTCATGTACCCATCTGACTACCACTGCTAAAGAATGTGAGAACAGAAATGTTCTCATGGTTCATTCATTCATTCATTCATTCATCCATCCATCCATTTATCCATCCATCCATAAACCCATTCAACAGTTACTAGTCACGCATGGGGCCCTGGGTAAGAGCAGTAGAAACCAGCAGTGTGGGTGGGAGACTGTTAGGCAGACAAGAGGGAGCTGTTGGAGCAGGTGCCTCAGGAAGGCTTGGGGGAAGTAACACAGAGCTAAGACTTGAGCTAGAGGCAGTCAGCTGACAGAGGTGAGGAACCCCTGCCCTTGATTGTTTTAATTTCAAGAGTCAAGTTAAAAAATAAGGAATCCTGATTTATGCCGAGACATCATGCCTAGTCCCAGAGCTCTGCAGAATGTTAGGACAGGCTAGCCTTTCCTTAGGGCCACAGATGAGGAAACTGAGGTGACATGCCCCATCTCATATTTCTCACCCCAGGCTGTGGAGCTGCCTCTCATGAGACACTCCCAGTGAGCCTTCTAGAGCCTTACAGAGAGGTATGTCTCCATCTGGCAGGCGTGAGGATTTCCGCAAGTCCAGCAAAGTGGACAGCACTCTGCTCAGAGCCATTAAGAGTGACAGACACCACTATGCGGGACCCATACCCACACAGGACACTGAAAGCAGCCATCTCAGAGATGCTGGACATGGAGCCCCAAGATGGGATGGAGGGGTGCCCAGGAAAGAGACTGACAGCCGGGCTAGAAGAGGGAAGGCTTTGATTCACAACTTCTCAGCTCCTATTGCTTCTCCCTCCCTTCCCCCATTTGTGTGTGTATGTGTGGGGGGGAAATCTCTGGGATCTGGGACTGC